GCACTACTTTAATTGGCAATTGCGTGGTCATGCAACACTGTGTGGAAAAAATACATTTTTATCTTTTTTTTTCCCACACAAATAGAGCTTTCCTTTGGTGGTATTAGATCACCACTGGGTTTTTTAGTTTTGCAATATAAACAAAAAAAAAGAACAAATATTTTGAAAAAGAACTATATTTTCTACCTTCTGTTATAAAACATATCCAATAAAATATCAAAAAATTTAATTTCTTAGTAAATTTAGGCCAAAATGTATGCTGCTACATATCTTTGATAACAAAATCCAAATAAGTGTGTATTAAGTAGTTTGTACTAAAGTTATAGAGTCTACAAACTATGGTATATATACTGGAAATTACGAAGCTATGACGCTGTACTCTAATGACAATGATCAGCAACGTATAGTAGGACTGCGAGAGGATGGCAGACAATCTGGTGCTAACAGACACTCTCTGGGAGAGTCACTAACTGACATTGACACCGCTAGTGACACTAATACAGTGATCAGTGACAATACTGTACATTGACACTGTACTAATGTAATATGTGCTACTTTTACTTTATTGTCTGTCTGATTTTTCTGCCTGCTTTGCAGAGAGAAGAAACAGGCAGATTGCTGTTCCCTGAGCTCAGAGTTCTGTTTTTTGTAAACACAGAACTCTGTGTGTGATTGGCCACAGTTGATCAGCTGACTTGTATACCTTAAACCCGGAAGAATGGTTATGATGTACCAGTATCTTGCCCGGGCTGCAGCTGCCACCTGCTCACAGTACAAATACAGCTGTACTCTGGATGGGCAGCAAGTGGTCAAAAATACTGCAGGAAAAGCTAATTAGAATGCAGCTAATTTTTTTCCTGTAGTTAAAATGTTGCCACGATCTAACGACTGAGTGTTGTAGAGTTATGACATCCATTCTTATGGTGGTTGATGACCTTGTTGCATGGTTTTATCCACAAGCATCATTTGAAATCAGTATTTAGGAGGTCAAATTATCTGGTAAGGAAGTGCTGTGCACTTGTGGTGTCAAAGCACTGAAATTTAGACAGTTTGCACAGAGGACTGTTGACACTTAATTTTCACTTACACATGGGCTATGCTTTTGAGTGTTTTAGATAATAAGTTTAGTGTGTGTTTAGTTTTTTTCTGCTTGTGGTTTTCAAATATTTAATCTTTATTATTGTGAAGATACTGCTATTGTTCAAAGGGAGAGTGCAATTGTTTTTGGTCACCTGATATATGGAGTTCATAGTAGCTGCACTTTTTTCAATTTGTCATATTTTTTTTTTATATATTGTTATTTATTTACAGGATGGAGTTTTCCATCATTTCATAAGCTCCTAGCTTAACCATTTTTACAGGCCTACAACTCTATTTTAGATGGGGCTTCTTGCTGACTCACTGAGGGAGGCAATAATGGTTATCCCTACTGAGGATAAAGACCCTGCCCATGTACGAATTACCACCCATTTCTATCCAAAAGTTACATTGGAACATTTTTTACCAAAAAATACATGCCAATATATTTTTACCCATAGTCCAATGTTTGATATGCTTGGACCTGGTGGGTTTTATTCCATGTAGAAAAGCTAAAGACAATACAATTAGGGTTTTAAATGTGATACACCTAGAGCAGACCAAAGAGGACCCCCATCATCCTCCTATCTACTGATGCAGAGAAAGCCTTTTATAAAGTGAATTGGACCTTCTTGAAATTCACTCTTCAATAAATATGCCTTGGGGCACATATGAGACATTGAACAAATTCCATATAGTCCCACCCCTTGGCCATGCTTAGAATTAATGATATGACTTTCCTTTCAGTTATTATTATTATTACATCTAGTTTATATAGCGCCAAAGGGTTTGCTCAGCGCTGTACAATAGAGGGGGGGACAATACATGAAACAGTACAGCAACAACAAACAGCACATGAGGGGTTAGAGGGCCCTACTCTTTCGAGCTTACAATCTAGGAGGGAGGGTTGATCTGCACAATGGGACAAGACATATTAGCCCATTGTTGCCCTTGATATTTGTCTTGACTTTGGAAACATTTCTTGGGCACATCAGATCCAATTCAAATATTTTAGGCTTTTTAGCAGGTGATGCAGAATATAAGGTAGTATTTATTGAAGATGGCCTGCATTTTTTGTGCCATACCTAGAGACATAATTGCCTAATTGACTAATTGAATTCAACTTATATAGCTTTTTATCCATTTTAGGATACGTTTACAAAAATCTGAAGCATTGCTTCTTATGATCCCAGAGTGTCAACTAAAAATGACATCCAATGACATCATCCAGCCCCATTCATTTTCTTGCCCGACTCATTCTTTAATTTTATGGCCCAGCCATGCAAACATAAGGGTTGGGATAGCATGAAATCACTGACCATGCATGGTCATATGGCCATATTCAGGCAAAGACAGTGGCTAACTATGACCATGACATCACCCAGGAGACCCTGACCTGTTGTTTACTTTTACTGGTGGGGAACAGGAAATATCATTCAGTGTCAGTGACATGACTGGACATGTCTGCTGGTTGGTGTGATTTTTTTTTTTTTTCGTGGCTGTTTGTTCATCATGATAGACATAGATCTATATCACTGGATGACATGATTGATAATTGATTCACTTTATGAGACATTGGTATTTTTAATAAATTTCTTCTCAAAACTGTGTAAATGTGTTTATATACTTTTCACTTTTTGTGTGAATGAGTGAGGTACTATGGGGTCAATTCACTAAGAGATAAATACCGCCTTAATTTTACAGTTAAAATAACTCATGCAGTATTTATCTAAAAAGTAGTTAATTCACTAAAAAACATGCATTATTTACCAAATGTGTTAAATATTTTTGTTTTAAGATATTTTTTACTTTAATTTAGCATTATTTTTTGGCGTTTTTCCACAGTTTTTTTTAACAAGCTAACACTGCACCAGAAGAAGATACTGTAGTTCTGTAAATAAGTGTACACAGAAACATTATGAAACTGAAAATATTCTAGTGTACTTTTATTCACAGAACAATTCCCCTCTGGAGAAATGTTACAATTTATTTTCATCGTGAGCACAGGGCATAACATTTCACACTGATACATTGTATACTTTTAACTTACTGGCCAATGCAGAGTTCCCCTCATTGTTATTTTGCCAAAAACTGACTGCCTACTGGCAGGTAATAAATAACGAATGTGAGTGTTCACTAGTGAATTGACTTTAATAATGTATCTCTTATCTTTGCGGTATTTACCTCACATTTTTAACAAATGTGTGGTATTTACCTCACATTTGATATTTTGCTATGTTGAACTGACTCCTGTATTATATCATGAACTATTTCCATAAAATGGGTCAAGTGACCTTCGCATACAAACTTTTTTAGTGAATTTCCCCCAATGTATCCTTTACTCATTTCATGTAAATCTATTGTAGAGTTCTATGTACCCTTTACTCGTTTACAAGGGGAAAGCAGTATCTGGAGGACCCTCACTGGTAAAGGGGCTTCCAGATTCCAATAAACCTCCTGCCTGTAGACCCCCAGAACCACTGGGGCAGGAATGTGGGAAAAAGGCCCTTTTCCTCATCAACACAGGGGCAAGGTGCTTTGCCTTCAAGCAACCCTCAATGTTTCCTGGCCTGCCCGGATGCATGCTAAGATAAGAGCCAGGTATAGATTTTCTGGTGGACTTGACACCTTCTTTCTTTTTCTTTTTGCTTGGGGGTCCCCCTTGACATCCATATCAGACCTGCATTGAGGATAAGGACCTCTCAGTTTCATGTCTGCTCATACTTGCTTTTCATCCCAGTGTAAAGAGAGGGAGAATGGCTTGGTAACAATTCATTATATCTCCCATTTCCTTTCTGTATAGTAGGTAATATAAGAAACTACACCTAGCTAATGTGAATGGGGCAAAGCCTGATTGGATGATCTAAATACGACTGCTGTTTATAACCCATGTGACATGGAACAAGCAAGCAATGCAATGGCTAGCTCTTGAAATAGAAAAAGTCACAGTAACCCATTTGGGAACCTGGAAGTGGTATCATATGTGGAGAAATACAATCAAAGGATTAATTATATTCCCATATAGTATATCAGAATGCAAATAAAACTTTATATGGTTGCAATCCTAGGTGACGTCATTGACCAAATATGGCCATGTCCTTATTTGGTCAATAACAGCACTTGAGATACCCCAGAACTTTTTTTACATTCAGCTGTGGGGTTGGGAGCTGTCATGCTGTCTGTCAGTGACTCTGCATGTCTTTTTTTCTTGGCAGATTGGCGGTAAGGCAGGTTGGAGGGCATTGTTCATCATGATTGATATTAATCTACTGTACATAGCATGATTGCATGTTTGATGATGGATTTGCATTGTGGGATTTTTTACTTTGTCTCAAATGTTTGTGTTTTTATGAAAAAAAGGTGTCAGTGAGTTTATTGACAATTTGTCTTTTTGTGAAAGAGGTTACTCATTGGCAAGGTACTCACCCTATGTCCCATGTTGATGGCATGTGGCCTTTTGCAGGACTCTGCTCTCAGAATTATCTTATACAGTAGATAAAGTTAATTAGACACTGCACAATATTTTCACTTTAACCAACAGTGCAAAAATTCCCAATTGTAGTCTTATATGTTAAACCCATTTGAACTCATGTCAAGCAAGTAAAACATTAGGTTACAGGACACGTCAGCCCCAGTTATGAACCTTTTAAAAATATGGGTAGATATATAAATACTATTACTTCAAAAGGTGTGTCATTTATCTAATGTACAATGATTTTGTAAATCGGGGTTATTTTTTCTCCCAGTCTAGTTCTAGCTGTGGATGTGTGCACTATAAAGTTTTTATAATTAGTTTTTATGACTTAGCTTTTCTTTTTGCAACATATCATTATACCAGAATATTAAATGTAAATTAATGTTCATAAAGCATATTACAGATACTTTACATTATTTCAAATCATTTATTAAATGTACTTAGTTAACTAGTAGGAATGATGGAGACGTCTGATGGAGCCAATTCTTGGGTCTGTGGCTCCCCAGTCAGTGTATCTTCTGTACTCTCCAGGTCTCAGGTAATACTGACGTCCTCTGTAGTTGGGCTCCTCGTAGAACATCCAGTATCCATCTTGTACATGGGCGGAATGAATATCATGATAGCGGAATCGCTCATAGATATGAGGACAATCTTCAGTGAATTCCATCATCTGACCTCTGAAGTCTTCTCTCTCATAGATCCTGATCCTAAATGAACCTTGATGCTGTAAAAAAATAAGCAACCATTGTATTAAAATAGCTTATATTAGATTTACCAGTTAGTAACATTCATAAGGATTTATAACAGCATTGTAAACTTCCTCCATGATATTATTATTTATTATTATTATACAGTATTTATAAAGCGCCAATAGTTCGCTCAGCGCTGTACATTACAAAGGGAGGCAGAACATGTGACAGAACGATACCAATACAATGCAAAACATGAGGGGATCAAGGGCCCTGCTCTTTCGAGCTTACAATCTAGGAGATGATAGAAAATGTTTTATTTTAATAAATATGACTGTAATTAGAGATATTTTACAATTGATATGTTTACCTGGGGACTAAGGCGACAAGACCTAATGGAATCATTATAACCCATCCATTGTTGAAAGTCAGGATATTCTCCCCTATGAAGGAAATATTGGTGTCCTCTGTAATTGGGATGTTCATACAGGATCCAGTTTCCACTTTCTACACGGATGGAGTTGCAGCGTCTGAAGTATGAGGACATATTGGAACATTCAGAGTTACACTCATAAGAGCGACCCTGAAAATTTCTATCCTCGTAGAAGATGATCTGTTAAAGAAATGTATTGATGATAAATGTATTTTGCTTTTCATTTATGGCATAATATGTATTTAATTTAGGTAGATATACTGTACTCCTTAAAAATGCCTGAAGTAAAAACTAAACTATAAATATTATAACATTTTTAACAGACATTTGTAGCCATATTTATTGATGTTCAAGATAGGATCATACCTTCCCCATTGTGTTTGTGTAGCCTCGTTCAGCTATGTGATGCTGCTGTCGCTTAGAGCACAGGGCTTTATATAGTATATGTCAAAGTCTGGTAAAGTCAAAGGTAGTGCTGACATGTCATTATCTTTAAGCAGAATGTAGAGCAAGCTTTTCTAAGAATTTGCTTCACCCATTATACAACTATTTAGACAACCCTAACCCAGCAATGCAAATTTTTTCACTTTTAGTTGAACACAATAAGCTGTGATTCTTTAGAGGGAATATTCAGACAGTGTCTTTGTGCATCATCACGTGATTTGCATTTAGAAGTTGCGAGTGCACATTAGGCACAACTGACTACCTTTCCATTTGGTTCACCCATAGTAGCATCATGTTTAGATATTTTAAATCCAAAAGGTTGCAATTTAACAGCAGTGTGCTACAGCTCAGTGTACAGACATGTACTGTATATGGAAATATAAATATATATGTATATACAGTAAATATAAAACATATAAAGTCATTAGAGCTGCAACATTTTACCTTCTTTTCTACTTGTGTTTTTTTTTTCATTCACGCTACTGTTTTAAAATTGAATTTTATTGACTATCTATTCACTATATTATCTTTTTAATATTTTACTGCATATGCTTGAAATTAATTATATTTTTGCAGTGAGAGTTTTATTTATTATCTACGCTAATAGTATAGTTTGAAAATGTTTTATTATTCACTAATTGTATTACTTAATTTGAATGTTATAGATCCATCCGATACAGACAATGCTTTACCAAAGATCATGATCCAGAATAATTATTGATACTGGTGTGTTCAAATTTAAATTCCAGATATTTTTTATGTATAATTGTATTTAAAGTATATGCATATACATCAATAAGCTTGTCTAATCAATTAACAATTAATTACTTTAACACAAATGTGTGTGCTAATAGACTTCAAATGGAGAGTTTGCCTAGAACAGTTCACTCAACAGAATGCATTTTAGGTATTTTTGTCCCCTTTTATTTATCCAAATGTCAACTTAAAACATAATTCTACCCATGCTGGGGCTGTTTAGCATAACAATGAACATAAATGTATTTCAGCCCTCTGGCTGCTTTGTAGCACAGCTCTATCTGCTCTTACATAGGACACAGCTACCCCAGTCCCAGCCTCTCTCAGTAGTCAGTCTAGCTCAGCAGCCTGTCTGTTTATGTGCTCCTCAGGTGTCCTTCTCAAGCTGCACTTGCAGTACACAGGAGCACAGACTGGTCAGAGAACACTTTCTTTTTTCAGCAACATCAACCTGTATCCACTCAACTCAACACCTGTTCTGCGGCCTTTTCCCTGCCTAAATAAGTATTATCTGCATCTTTACACAGTGACAGACCATCTGTCGGTCACAGGTGATTCTCTTTTTACCCATGCTTACAAGCAAACTCATCTATAATACAAATATTTAAAAAGAAAAGGAAGAGGAAACCATGGCAGCCAACTTATTTTAATAAGTTATTAAAAGATACAGAAATATAAAGAATATACAAAGATTATAGAAATGTTCTTCAAACCAAGTAATGAAAACATATTCATCTCAATCCTTTCACTAAAAGGTTATTGGTATCTATGATACCCAGAACTCCACATTTCAGCTTTGCTCTGTGCTTTGTCAAATTGTACAAGTCTGTAAGTATAAGATTTTCCATCGAAGTTGCTGGTTCATTACTGATAAATTACAGGATTTATTTTGACAGACCTCTGAAAAAGCAAAACTAAATGACCCAGACATCAATATCTGAGAACTGAGGCTACATGCTATTATAGAATAACAATATTCTTTATCAGTCACTATCTGGTTTATTTGCTGCGTCCTCATCTGGGAAGATTTCCCTTCAACTTCTGTCCTGGGAACACAACATGAAATGGGAGGAAATCATCCCGAAGAGGGGAAAATCCTCACTGTAAAATTTTGCCCTCTATTTCTGGGGAAAACCATGAAATGTTGGTTATTCCCTTCACTTTCTCTCCTTGTGACATTGGTCACCAACAAAAATAATCAATATATATACAATATATATATATATATATATATATATATATAGTATTATACCAACCGAGACATGGAAAACTAAATATTGCTTTAGATCTCTACCATTACTCTATGTAAAATTAGCTGAAAAAAAGATAGGAGATTCACTTTAAATGCTCTGTTTAAAATATGTTAAGACTGTTAACATCTAAGCAACAGATGATTGCTTTAACATTTAGTTATATTATTATCTATAAAATACCTTATTTATTATTATTATTGTTAATATTAGTATTAGTAGTTGTAGTAGTGATAGAAGTAGAAGTAGTAGTTGTATACGTTAAAGTTGTAGTAGTGGTAGTAAAATAATTTTAATTACTTATGAAAACGTTTGCTCTTACACATGATAATTTCTTGGCTAATTATGTTATTTTTATTTGCCAACATGACTGTTGAGAAGCATAGGCCTAAAGCCATAAACATATGAAACAAGTAACCTTGCCTAAAGATGACAGAGGCTGATTAAGCTGGAAAGAGTAAGGTTGCAACTTTACTGAACATTTTCTAACATAACAACTTAACCAGTGAAAGTCACAGTTATACTGTGAGCTCACGTAAGCAATAACCTGACAGTTTTAAAAAGCCTGTTCTTACCATCACTGGCTTTAGAATCACCCAAATTTCAACTTGAGGGCATAGTCCATCTAAAAAACATTAATTACTGGCAAGGTTAAACTGTCACACATAAGCCAGTGGCTCACTGAAGAGCACCCCATTGCAGCCAGTGCTTTCACAACACCAAATTAAGGTTGAAAGCTGACAGTTTGCATGTTAATATTATGCTTTTAATAAAATTTTTCTTGATTTATATTACATTAGTGCGGTGTACACTATATTCTCTTACCCCTGCCAGGTGAACATAGGATTGCTCTGCTATCAAGCAAACCTGGCAGTGATTGAAGCATTGTGTGCCCAGATGGCTGTGTGGAAGAGATCTTTCAGGTCCCTTTTTTCTCATTGTTTCCATGAACCTTTGATTTATGTAATAGGAGGTATTTGCACTCTTTCCCCTTTTTTACAGAAGTGGTTCCTGTGCAGCTATCAGGGGGCAAGCAGAATCTGCATCCTTAGGCCAAAGTGGTGGTCAGTGTGCAGTATCTAAAGGTAGGGCATGTGTTTCTTTCTTTTTTGACAGTGGGCTTGCTATACACCAAAAGCCAGGAGAGGAAATGGTTTAGTGGCTTACCAAGCCTTCATTATCCTTACCACTATCTCCAAGTCAAGGAGTAGCTAACATGCCCTGTTCTGCCTCCCTATCCACAGCTACTCCTGCCTTTGGCCATCAACCAGCACAGAGGAGTCATCTGTGTTACTTGAGCACAGTGTCAGCCACTTGCTGCAAGAGGATGCAGAGCAATTAATTGTAACTGAGGCTAAGGAGGAGAACAATAGGAGAATAGAGGGAAGTGGCAACATAAAGGAAGAAACTGCCAAGTTCACTCCAGAGATGAGGGAGAGTATGATGATGAGGTGTGAGACATAGCAAAGGAGGGTGAAGGACATTGTTATCCCCCGATCTGATCCCGAGAGCTCAACTCTGTGGGCTTTTTTCAACACACGTGCTGTAGTAATTTGCAGTCTGACTAAAGCATAGCAAGTGTGACAATACCATCAGTCATTTGAATACAATGTGTATCAAGAGACACAGGACTTCTCAACACACGGCTCTTTGTGGGCAAAACTTGAATGCTCTCCCTTGACAAAATTCTTCATCTTTCTTTACCACCTGTAGTGCCCCCCTGAAGGAGCTGCTTGGTAACTTTGGTTTCTCTGTTCAGTGCCTCAACTCCAAAAACACCATCGGCCACTCTGACACACCTGGTTGACTAAAATTCACTGCAAGCATGGATAATTACAGAAGTGTAAAATACCTTTGACCAGGCTTTGGGTTACTACCAGTAAATAGACACACACCCGTTTAGTGGTAAAGGCTCTTATTCTATTAATACAAGGTAGAATAAATTGCAAATTGAACATTAATAAGCACACACCTGAAATATTATGACATAGTCAGCTAGACAGAGAAATAGCTATGTTAATTTGGCAAAAATTTGATTTTATACCCCTAATTAGAATCAGAAGTGTAAGTTTGTAAATCAGCAATAAACAATATTGGTGAAAGTTAAATGCAGTATAAATGATGCTATGACTACACTAGGTTAGAGTGCACTCGAAGAGATTGCGTGAGATGCGGCAACTATTAAGAGGTACCTCTTAAACTAAACAAAAATAAAAACCAAGGCCTCAGGGCAGCAACTGTTAGGGGCAGCCTTCAGTCCTGTCTCTTCAGCTAAACATTGGGGCCCCTTGGTGCTCATTAAGGCCATCAATAAAACCTGCAGTCAGTATTAGGGCTGTGGAGTAGCTCGTAGAGAGTTCCTAATGGCTCAGTTTCTAGTGGTGATAACAAGTAGTGGCAACAAGGCCCTCTCACTAGACCCACACAGCAGCAGTGGTCTCTCTGATTAGTATCTGCTCACTTTGGGTTGCTTGTGATGACTCTGGCAAGTAGCTTTGTCCCTCAGTACTCAGGTCATGCTCTGTACCCTCTGGCTGTCCCTTAGAAATGTCAGCAGCACACCAAGGAATTCCTCAAAAATGGGTCCAAAGCTTTATTTTGTGGTCACATAGTAATCACAAAGCAATGTTTTGGGGCAAAGCAGGACTACTTCTTGACATTTCT